TCGTCCGGATCCAGATCCAGTTCCGGTGCCTGTTCCGGATGCGAAAATTCTTGAATCCGATAGGCTCTGCCGGTAGTTCTCTCGTAAGATATTAACAGATAGTTTCTAGGAAATTTCGATAATTTCGGATTCATAAGAAAGAAACGCTAAGGAAATTGTATAGGATATTTTGGAAATTCCCAGAAAATTACAGAAATTTCAAATATTTCTTTAGTATTAATACGGATAAAGGGGATAGCATGAATTTCGTAGTTAACTTTTGATAATTCCCAAAAGTTTTGTAATAGGATGTGAGTATGACTCACGGTTGTCAAATCTTCCGAAATGACAGCAAAATTCCGAATTTTTTTCGAGTTATTATATTTTGCTAAATTCGAGTTTTTATAAACTGGATTATAATTTCGAAAGTAACTCTTTCCACTAATTAATGCTACTGTAATCATTATATAGTACAGAACTTTGGGATTATTAGCGGTACATGCTTTCTTGAATTGAAAGCCTTCTCGAACTAAACAGAACAGATTAGCTTATTAAAAGAAGTCATTTGAATAAACGCTTTCGTCAATATAAGCCAAGTTTTTAGTTTGAGTAGGAATTTTTTTCACATGATAATTCTAATGTGTTAAACTGAATTAAATTCTGCTATGAATAATGAGTTCAAGGATCCCAACACGAGTATAAGCCAGGATGAAGAAGCAAAAAAACCTATCTTACTAATAATTTTCACATAAAATGCTGATAGAGCAAAAATATATTTCAATAAAAAGATGCAATATATGTATTTAAACGTCAAATAACTACTTTCCGAAATTTCTTTGTTGAAATGTCGATTTATAACTTTCCGATTGACGATTGTGATGTGAGTGTGAGTGATATGAATACTCACACCCAAATCCATATCCTCCGAAATTTTCAATAAAATAGTACGATATATTTATCATTAGTATTTAGAAATTTCAGTAATTTCCAAAAGTAACAAATAGAGATTGAAATTTCGCGGTAATTTTTAAAACTTAATATTCAATTTCTTAGAATTTTCTAGAAATTACCTTCTGGTATATTGTTAATTACTGAAATTTGCTTGAAATAACCTTTTCATATGTTGATAATTTTAGAAAATTCTTTTTCTGCAAATCTGAACATACATCTTACGAACAGAAGAACTTATTTATATCTAAAATAATACGATAGTAAATTTTTGCGTTCGCGCTATTGTGAAAATTCATTGTCAAATACAAATGCTCTTGCCTGTTATTATAAGTATTACTTATTCTGTACATTTTCTTTGACCTCTTCGTTATATGTCTTGCCATATGTTGTTTTTACTATCATCAGTACACTTTTTTCCATTATGCGAAACCATACTGATATGATCAAAAAATTGCGTTAACTCAAGCCTTTCTTATATGAAAAAATATCTATGATATTTATCTCTTTGTTTTCATTGACTATTTTCTTCAAGAACTCGTTATTATCTTATTTTTATGGAATTAAATTAAGTTAAAAATTGAAACTAGAATGATACATTAATGCAGAGTAATACAAATAAATGTACACGAAAAATCAGTAATATTAAGCGGTCTAGTTTAACCTGCTGGATAGACTAGAAAAATGTTTCCTGTTGATAACTATGACTTAAGGTCCAAAGGTTAAGCTTTTTTGCAAAATGTAGTTGAGGTTTCATAGTTTATCAGCGTCAAGTATCATTTCTTTCTCCTATAAACTTGTTGTTCGAGATAAACAATACTGAAAATGATGCACACTGAATAGGCTTGACATTGACCGTACATCTCATATAAAAATATATCGTAAATTTTGCAATGAAATATTATGTACTTTGTAATTTGCAACAGAAAACACGTGTCAAAGATACTATAACCATACAAGCGAGTAAAATTGCGCTGAAATATATGTTCAAAACTTGTATTAATATAAATCTCTCATAACACATCTGGAAGACAAGGTTATTTGTTCAGTGTATGATCAATTTCGAACATCACTGTATAATCGGAATTTTTCTTTGGCGTATAACTGATTTATTGCAAGTGAATATTTGTATAAATCAAATATGCTATTTGCATGTTACAAAATAGATTTCTTTCTGCCACTAATCACTTGATTGAATGGTATTTTTGACTTTTTGTTGTGGTAGAGAATTTAATTTCTTACAAAATCATGATTTACAATAAGCTAGAGGTTGTAAGAACCAAACAGCTACTCACAATATTTTTTTAAAACAAATCGCTCTTTTTTTTCCAAATTTTAATTTTTAAAATTCAACAGATATTGATCATTTGTAGTAATATGTAAAAAGAAAAATAAATCTAACATTTTGTTGGCAAAACTTCATTCTATAGAGTGATATATAGAGACGTCGTTTTTTGGCTTCCGTTACATATTAGTTTTCAACGAATCAACTTTGAATCAGTACAAAAAAATAATTCTAAATATATATTTAGAAAGAACATAAAATCTTCATTTTATCCGACGATCTAAAAGTCAACAGAAATTGCATAAACATGTTTTTGCAAAGACTTTTTTTTATACAGTGATTAAAATAGATTTTATTTAATTCGTTATTACATAGAAAATTTGCTGATATTGGTAATACGGTAGCACTACAATATACAAAAGGTCTTTTTCAAATTGCTGAATGGGCAGATCTTGTTACTGTTCATGTTCTACCCGGTGAAGGTATTGTACAAGCATTGGAACAAGTAAGTTATACATATGAGAATTTAAATCAATGAATTAATATGAAATATGAAATATTTTCTTAAATATTAGGCAGCACAAACAATTAATGAATCACGTGGATGTTTATTAATAGCACAAATGTCATCGAAAGGAGCTTTAACGAATAATGAAGATTATGTTAATGGTGTAATAAAATGTGCTGAGAAATATTCTGATTTTGTTATTGGATTTATTTCACAATCACGTCTTACAACTAGTGATAAATATCTTCATTGTACTCCAGGTAAACTATTTTCATATAATTGAAGAATAAAAAGAAAAAAAAAGAAAAGTATTCTAATCGATATATTAAATTAGGTGTTCATTTAACTAATACTGGTGATCAACTTGGTCAACAATATGTAACACCACGTCAAGCTATTGATGGACGTGGTGCTGATATAGTTATTGTTGGTCGTGCTATTCTTGATTCAATTAATCGAGTTAAAACTGCTGAAGCATATCAACAAGAATGTTATCAAGTGTATGAAGAATTACGTAAAATTTAAGAATACTTTTTGATTTTATATATTTTTTTTTTATATTCTATCCTAAATAAAATATGGTAGTTAAGAGAGCGTCCGCGAGAGGACCTACCAACCTAATCAGAAGTCGTTCATTGCTAAAATTTTGATTCTCGATTTAGATATCTTAAATGATAGATCATCATTCGAAACCTTTAAGTCCAAAATATAACCTCTTTCTGACTTGCCTGTGAAAAATGCCACACTATACAATTAACACACTCTTCGACACTTGATCAAAAGACCGCTATTTTTCGGTACTCTTTGTATTTTGTATTTTTCTCTGCATCTAAACATTCGTTCGAGTTTTGAGACGTCTCAAAAGATGTAGAAATGCTTTCTCTACAAAATTGAATAATTCGATATGTTCTACAATACTATTCACCAAGTGATAATCTCAATATACAGGCAAAAATGCCCATTAGTTAAAATGAAGATTTTCTAATATTTTGACTTGAGCCACGATGGATTATGTTATCCAAAAATGATTTACATATTTTCTCAAAG